GCACAGCACGGTGGGGGTGCTATGTCTGTGTTGGGGTGCTGGGACAGGCTAACGCAGGGCCGGTACAGGTAAACAAGGAACCACACAGTGTTTGGGGGGTTTGCAGCGTGGGCGAGCTGGTCCGGGGTACATGCGATTACTGCTGTGTACGAGGGGGGCACGGGCAGAGAGGGGGTTTGATGTGGTGTTTGGGGTTACCGCATCGTGCCTGGCTGGTGCAAGTGAGCCAGGGACGATGTACAAAGGGTGGTACTGATGAAGAGAGGGTTGGCAGTGTGATAGTGGTTTGGCACGCTGTCTGGGTGCCAGCACGGGTGGACGTGAGGGTTTGGCACAGGGCTGGTAGGTTGGTACCGTGGTGTTGCGTGGCTGGAGGAGGTGGCTGCCTGCTGCTGGGTCCCACCAGCCCCAGGGCCTGGGCAAAGGCACACTGAAACGCTTCTCTCTTTCTCCCCAGGGGCTGACCCTGCACTGCGTCCACCGAGCCCCGGCCCCAGTTTCACCATGGCCTCCCAGCCGCAGCCCCTGCGCCCCGCCTTGCCCTGCGCCTCTGCCACAGGCACTGGTGGGGCTGGGCTGGTGGCCGGCAGCCCTGAGAAAGGTTTGTCCCCGGGGGGGGCAGGAGAAATTGGGGTTGGGGGGTTTCCCAGTCTGGTCTGCGCTGGGAAAGCCCCCCCTGGGGATGCCAGGCTGGCACCCAAGATTGGCTGTGGGCCCGCTGTGCTCCACTGGCCTTCCCTGGGGAGCTTGGCAGGGCTGTGGCGCTCCTCCAGCGTGGCGTTTCTCCTCTCCTTGCTTCTCTTGCAGGCAATGCTCGCCCCAAGCCGCCTGTCCGGCCCAAACCCCAGGTGCTGCCAAAGCCGGCCGTGCCCGCCAAGCCCTCCCTGCCATATCCCCCTCCAGGGCCACGGCACCCTCGCCCAGAGCTGCCCTCCGCTGAGAAGATGAACCGCCTGGCAGGGCCCCAGCCCTACAGCGGGGGCAGCTCAGGGGGGCCCCTCAGACGCCCCTCCTTCACTCTCAAGTCACCCGAGACCCCCAACGGGAAGGTGCTCCCGTCCCCTCTGCTTGCAGCCACTGAGGACCCGGGTTCGACCCCTGGGGAGGAGGTGCCCCCTGCCCCGCTGACCCCCTCTCGCAAAGGCCTGGCTCCCTTCAAGGTGACGCCAGTGCCAGTGGCAACCAAACCAGAGCGATTTCCAGGCACCACCGTGGAGGAGATTCTGGCCAAAATAGACAGCAGGGAGGGCCCAGGGAGCCCGGACCGAGCCCGGCTCTCACCCTTTTGCCCTGATTCCTCCTCTCGCTTTGGCTCCAAGACCTTCACTGCCTTCCGGAGGCGCCCCAGCGGGGAGGCGGACGGAGCCCTCCCCGGCGAAGCCCGCCAGACACCCCAACCCGCGGTGGGCGAGCTGGGGACGGGGGATGACGGACACCCGATTGCCGAGATGAGGTGAGGGGCTGGGGACCGACCCCGGCGGGGCGGTAAGAGGCTGTGGGGCCGGGGAACATTGCTCTGAGCTGTCCCAGGGATGGGAATAACGGAGCTGAGGTCTGGTCGCCGGCTCGAGGCCGGTGTTCCTCCTAAGCAGGCAGCGCCTTGAGCTGCCTCCGTGGGAAGGCCAGGGCAGCCGCTGCAGCGCCGAGTGGTTTGTTCAGACCGCAGGAACGGGCTGTCCCGGTTGAGGAGTTGCCTCCCTGCCTGCAGCCCCCGAGGGCTGGGAGGTGAGCCAGCCGGCCATCCCACTGCCTGGACAGGGGCTGCCCTGAGACCGGGAGTAACGGGGCGGGGGTTGCTCCCCTTGGGAAATTCTCCCTTTCTCCCACCCTTGCTATTTTTTTACCTGCGGGGCTGTGCCAAGGCAGTGGGAGCGGGCAGATCTGTGGGACTCCTGGCTGCAGGATGTCCTGGGTGAGAGCCAGCACTTGGACACGCTCCCGAAAGCTGGGCACCTCCGGGAGAGAGAGACAGGGGCTATTTTAAACCAGAGTGTGAGAAACTTGCTCTCCCAAGGGCTGAAAACTTTCCGGAAAGGGGATTGCAGCTGATTTGCCTCCCTCCCCTCTGCAGTCAAAACCTTGCTAGATAATTTGGTGCTGGTTTTGAGTAAGGCTTGCAGCGATTGATGGGCCTCTTGCCGTTTGCCCGACCCCATCCTCCTGTGGCCAGAGTGGGTGGTTTGGGGCCAGGAGGTGCCTTGGCAGGCGGTGGGAGGGGAGAACAGAGAGAGCTGCACAGGGGGAATTCACCCTCCTTCCCTGTTTCTCTCTGGCAGCGGCTCCCCCCCAGCCGGCCCGAGCTGTGCCGGGGACCCCCGTGGACGCCGGAGGCCACCTTCCCCCCCTGATGTGAGTTCTCGCCTCGCCCTTCCGCACCACGGCGGCTCCGCTCCTGGGCTCTCTCCTTCGGGGCTCTCCTGTCTCCTCCGGGGCTCCCTCTCTGCGGGGTGCGTGTCTCTCCTTTCTCCTCGGGGTGCTGACTGCCCTTTTCTTCAGGGAAGCCTGGTGCCCCCTGTGCTGGGTGCCTGGGTGCGGGGCCACGTTATTTTGGAGAGGGTGGCGTGTGCCAGCACCGCTGCCGAGGTGTGGGCAGGGAGCAGCCGTGAGTCACCAGCCAGGGTTTGGTGACCCGGCAGGTATGTGGCAGGGCAGGCCCTTTCGGGCTCCCTGCCAACCCCCCTCTCCGCCCCCTGCCCCGTGCTCGGGGCGGTGACCAGGACACCAGGCCATGACACCGGGGGTGGCAGCCTGGGCAGTGGCACCGGGTCACCCCGGCGAGGGGGACTAACTCTGACGGTGCTGGGCTGGGTGACGCTGGCAAGGGAGTGCCTGGCCCCGCGGCGGGGTGGGGGGTCCGGGCTGGGGGTGTTTTTGCTTCCTCCTGCTTCATTTCTTCCTCTCCATCTGTCTCTGCGCTGCTGGAGGGTGGGTGCTCGAGGGGGGCAGCGGTGGGGGGCTCGGGGCAGTGCCTTGCCCTGCCTGGCAGGGTACGGAGTGGGGCCGGGGGCCGCTGGGAGCCGCCCGGGCTGAGTCACGCAGGAAGCAGCAGCCTGGCGCTGGCAGGAGGCGTGGGCACCTCTTGCCTCGGGTTTGGGGAGGGGAGGGGGTGCTGGCGGGAGGGACCCTCGCTGGAGATCGGGGCTGGGAGGGGGGCTGTGATTTGGGGGCGGGTGACGCCTGGGAGGTTCCTCTCGAGTGATGTGACGCCACTTTCCCCCCGCCCCCCGACTCTTTCCACAGCTCTCCTCTCTCCGGCCAGGCGCCCTTGGACCCCCTGGCTCGCCAAGGCCTCCCGTCTGCCCGGCCCCAGGAGCTCCTTTCCAGCCCGCAGAGCCCTCCGCTTCGGCCCCTGGCTCTCCCGATGCCTCCCTGGAGCTACCAGCCCCTGGCTCCCCCACCCTGGCCCCTGGCTCCCCCGAATCCCCCGCCCAGCCTCCAGCCGAGGTCTTGGCCACCTCGATCCAGGCTCCGGGCGCTCCCTCCTCCGCAGCCGAACCCCGGCTTGGCATCTCCTGCTCCCCTGGCTCCCCCCACACTCCTGGCGAGGGATCCCCCGATACTGCCAGCCCCCCCAGCACTCCTGAACTGCCCCCCAGAGTCACCTGCCCCCCCGGCTCTCCTGAGGCTGCCGCTGAGTACCCGGGCCCCCCCAGCCCACTCCCCGAGGCCCCTGCTAAAGCCTCCCGTGCCCCAGGCTCCCCGGAGGGACCAGATGACTCCCCAGTGTCCCCACAGTCCCCCAAGGGTCCTAATTTCAGCCCCCCTCCCCCTTCCAGGGACTCAGGGCTCCGGCGCTCTTCGGAGGGTGTGTTGCAGCCCCCGACCACAGGGCAGGGCATGGGGGAGCTGGGGGGTTCGCTGAGCGCCCTGCCCCGTCCCGGGGACCCGCTGTCAGAGCCATCCCTGGGCAGCGAGTCCAGCTGGAGCCTTTCCCAGTCCTTCGAGTGGACGTTCCCCTCGCGGGGGGCACGGCGGTTAGCATCCCCGCCCCGTTCCCCCATCCGGGAGACGGTTGACTCAGGGGTCTCCGAAGAGGGCGAATCGGACAGGGAAGATCCGGACCCCTGTCCCCCACGCTCTGGGGGGGACAGCGGATCCGAAGAGCTGGGCCCTGTGGTGGCCGGCAGCCGGGGAGCAGAGGGGGCTCCTTGTCCAGGGGGTCCCGTGGCCCAGCGAGAGGCTGAGGGCTCAGCAGAGGAGGAGGAGGAGGAAGGGGAGGCAGAGCGGGGTGCCACCATGCCCTGCTCCCCTCTCTGCGTGACAAAGCCCGCGCGGGACCCAGCTGAGCTTGAGCCTCCCACCCAGCCCGGCCTCCTCATCGAGGCCACCCCACCGGATCCGGCCACTGCAGCCAACTCGGCCTGGGCGCCAGTGAGCGACTCCCCTGTAAGCCTGCAGGGCCCTGGCGGGCCAGGCCGGGCCGAAGGATCCTCGAGGGGCCCCGATCCCCACACCGACCCGGGCTGGCTGACCGAGCTGCTGGCGTCGCCCGGGGCCCACGCCGCGGGCCGTGGCTCTCTGGGCGCAGAGGGGCCAGAGGTAAGGGGGCGCAGGGAGCCGGGCGGCTCTGCGGTGGCAAGGGTTAACGCTGGGCCACGGTGTCGGTGTGGCGCTGGGCTCCTCTCTGACAGGGCCGGGCCTCGCTGGGTGTACGTAGGGCGGTGGGACGGGTAGGGTGGAGGCTGAATGGGAGCGTGCTGTGCCGGCAGGGAGAGCCGGGGTGCGGCCACCGCCGCATGCGGGCACGGGGCCCGATGGGGAGCCATGGCTGGCGAGTCGGGGACCACGGCCATCCTCCAGTGGCTGCTGGCCAACCTGCAGCTGCAGGACGAGCTGGGGAGGGCTCGGCAGGCTGTGGGCCGGGAAGGGCCCTGGGCAGGCACGGCAGCTGTGAGTACCCTGGGCAGCTGGCAAGCTCCTGGTGTGGGAGCTGGGGGCCCCGTGGGGTGGGAAGGGCAGGCAGCAGGATCTGGTCTCCTCTCCGGACAGGACCCTGCTTGTGCTGTGTCCCCCAGGGTATTTCCCCCCTGCTTTTCCTCTCCAACTCTCCTCTCTGCTGCATGAGCTGGGACTGTGACCCCCTTTAACCCCTGTCTCCCCCCTTCTCACCGTCTTCCCCCAGGACCTGCTCGGCTGGTCACGGAAGGACCTATGCAGTGAATTTGGCATTGGCAGACCTCACCAGGCTGGCACCTTTGACTGGACCCGTGAGGCTGTGGCCAGGGAGAGCGACTGGCCTGGTGAGATGGAGCGGGACCGGGAATTTGGGACCAAATTGAGCTGGGACAGCACCTGCAGTGTCAGGGATGGGGACCAGCAGGACGGGCCCTTCGGCACCACCAGGAGGGACTGGGGCAGCGATTACAAAGGGACGGAGTTGATGGGGGAAATGAGACTCGGCTGCAGCGACTGGTCCAAATCCCACGGCACAGGGGAAGGCTGCCTGCAGGATCAAGACTTTGGTGCCGGCAAAGCCAAGTGGGGCACGGGCTATGGCTTGGACAGTGCGGGCAGCAGGGAGGAGATCAGCTCTGGGAAGACTGACTGGAGCAGCAGCTACGGCCTGGGACACGGCCAGCAGCAGGACGAGGAGCCGAGCTCCAGGCAGTCCAGCTGGGCTGGCAGGTACGGCTCCGGGGATGTGGACAGCCAGGATAGGGAGATCACACCCGCGTGGGCTGGTGAATATGGCACCAGTGATGTGGAGATGAAGGACAGGGAGCTTACTCCAAACTGGGCCAGTAAATACAGCAGCAGGGATGCTGAGACCAAGGACAAGGACTTTACGCTGGGCTGGGCTGGCAGATCCAGCACTGGGGATGCTGGGACCCCTCACAAGGAGTTCAGTCCCAGCAGGCCAGCCTGGGACAGCAAATACAGCACCAGGGACATGGAGAGCCAGGACCGGGAGTTCAGCCCCAGCAGGCTAGCTGAGGCCGGTGAGTACACCACGAGGGACATGGAGAGCCAGGACCGGGAGTTCAGCCCCAGCAGGCTAGCTGAGGCCGGTGAGTACACCACGAGGGACATGGAGAGCCAGGACCGGGAGTTCAGCCCCAGCAGACCGGCCTGGGATAGTGAGTACCGCAGCAGGGACATGGAGAGCCAGGACCGGGAGTTCAGCCCCAGCAGACTGGCCTGGGAAGACGAGCACAGCACCAGGGACATGGAGAGTCAGGACCAGGAGTTCAGCTCCAGCAGACCGGCCTGGGAGGACAGATACAGCACCAGGGATATGGAGACCCAGGACCGGGAGTTCAGCCCCAGCAGACCAGCCTGGGTCAGCGAGTACAGCTCTACAAACACCGAAAAGGAAGAAAGAGAGTTTAGTCCTGGCCGGCTGAGCTGGGCTGGTGAGCACAGCATTAGCCAAACCGAGCTGGTTGATGCTTTTGGTGTCAGGAAAGATGACTTGCCTGGCTCCTGTGCCTCTGATCCCCTGGCCCAGGAGCCCGGCTGGGGCAGCACCAACCGGCAGGAGCACAGTACCACTGACAGTAGGGACTGGGCTGAAGAGCTTGGAGGAGCCAAGTGCCAGAACCAATTTGGTATCATTGGGACAGACCGGGTGCCAGATCCCTCCAGCGCCGGAGTGTCACCAGATGGCTCGATGTCCTGGGCTGGTGGAATGAGATCTGGGGGCCTGCGGGAGCCTGTGGGAGACTGGCCTAGGGATCTCTCCTTTGGCAGCTCGGATGCCACCAGCTGCCTGGGCACTGGTGATGCTGGCAGGGTTGGACTGGGCCAGATGGCCTGGGGTCAGAGCCTGGGCAGCCTGCCTGCCCCAGGCAGCTCTGCCCAGCCCCAGGAGGCCGGGGTGGAAGAGCCAGGCTGGAGTCAGCACCTCGACACAGCCAGCTGGAGCGTGGAGCTGCGCGATGCCGAGGCCAAGCGCTGGGAGTGGGCTAACGCGTTCGGTGCCCGCTGTGCAGCCCGGAGCCGGGACTTCGGTGCTGAGGAGCAGAGCCCGGGAGGTGACGCTGGCTCAGTGGATGGGTAAGGAGGGCACTGGCGGTGGCACTGTGGCACCCCAGGGAGGGATCCGTCCCTCTCGGGTGCCTGTGGCATCCTGCGTTGGGGACTTCTGATGCTGTGGGCCTTGTGCTGGCGTCCTACTGTGCCTCACTTGTAGCTGGGGGACCTGCTGCCTCCAGCCCTGGGCTGCCAGAGCTCCTCTTCCCCAGCCTCCATGTTTCCCCATGTAGCCTCCGGCCCCACAACTGAACGGGAACTTTTTGAGGGACTGGGTTTCAACTTGTCCCAGCAGGATCTGCTGTCTTGGGCTGATCCAGGAGGGGATGATGCCTTCAGGGCTTCGTGTGCCTGTCTCCCACCAACATGGGGAGCCATGTGCCAAGTTTGGAGGGTGCTGGTGTTCCCGCGGCCCCCCAGAAAAGCGGCAGAATTAGCCCTGTGCCGTTACCGCTTCGCCAGGATGTGGGAACCCTGATTTCAGCCAAACTTACAGAGCTGGGGATTCCCAAAATGATAAATTCCCTCGAGCTGCCTGAAAACAAAGATCCCAGGAGGAGGGAAGCAAAAGCCCCATGGGCCTCGGGAAGGCCCCAGCCTGGCTGATTTCCTGCTGCCAGTGCCTTCCCGCACCCCGGGTGGCCCTGATCCTCCTCCTGCCCCTTGGGGCCCCTTGGTCACCTGGTGTCCCCCTGGCCACCTCCTGGGGGCTGGTGACCCTACTGGGTGGCTCTGACCCCTTTCTCTGCCCCAAGGGGGAGAGTTGGCCTGAGTCACCTATGAGTCTGGCAGCCTCCTTGCCCTCCCCAGACCCCAAATTCTGCCCCAGCCTTTGGGAAGGGGCTTTGGGGGAGCTTCCTGGAGGTGCCACCCTCTTGGTGTGACATCCCAGGAGAGTGGGAAGAGTCCTGGACACCTGGGTCCTGACTTCACAGGAGCAGTGTCTGGCCCTCCCCATGCCTCAGTTTCTCCTGGAGGCTGACGGAGGCGAGGTTTGGGGCAGGGGAAGGGCTTGTGTTAGCTGGAGCTGGAGGAACTCGGGTCTCTTCCTGTCTCCCCGAGCAGAAGCATCCGTCTCTCAGACCCCAGCCCACCGATGGGTGACGCTCTGGCTGACTCCGCAGCTGTGGAGTGCCCCCAGAGCGAGCCCTCCAGCCCCACCGAGGAGGAGAGGGACCTCTCCGCACTGGCCGCTGCCCCACAGAGCCCCAGGGCCTCCCCTCTGTCACCAGAGGGTGCCGGCGGGACCCTGCTGGACACGGAGAGCGAAGAAGCTCCCTTGGACCACCTGGATGGGAAGACACCACCAAGCTGGGAGGAGAAGCGGCTCTCCCTGGGTGCCCCTCAGCCCGAGGGACCCACGGACCACGCTGGGCAGGAATTCACCTTCCTGGAGGTGAGTGGGGAGGGGGCTCTGGGGGTGCCCAGCCATCACAGAGGCGCTTCTCTGGGGGCCGTGTTCCTGTCCTGCTCTGAGGATGGGGGCTTTGCCCTCTGGCCCCAGCTTCCCCCAAGGGGCAGGCTGTGGATTCAGGGCCCCCCAGTGCTGTTGTGGGGGTCTGTGGGCATGCTGGCCGGGGTGGGGGTCCTGGGGCTCCCCGATGCTGGGCACTGACCTGTCCCTGTGGGCTCCGCAGGACACGGAGATCCTGGACAGCAGTGTGTACCGCAGCAAAGCCAACCTGGGCCGCAAGCGCAGGCACCGGGCGCCGGCCCTCCGCCCCGGGGCCACCTCGGATGGGGAGAGCTGGATCTTCCGGGACTCCACAGGTGAGAGCCCGTGGGATGGTAACAACAGGAGAGGGACTGCGGGGCCATCCGTCCTTGGCAGAGGTGTCTCATGGTGACGCTGTCCCCCATGTCCTCCCTGCAGAGCCCCGTCCAGCCTGCCCCGCAGCATCCTCCGATGAGGAGGCGGCGGAACAACCCAAGAGCCGGCGGGTGCGAGCATCCCCATCGGGCAAGGGGGTCAAGGTGCCACTCTTCCCTGGCCTCAACACGTCTGCCCTCAAGGTGGGGCCCGCCGGGACCCCGAGCGAGTGGGGTGATGCCTCCCGGGCAGGTGGAATGGAGGGTTTAACAAGGGGAGGGGAAACTGAGGCAGGTTGGGAGTGGGGGTTTGGCCAAAGGTGGGCAGTGCGGGGCGGGGTGGGGAGGAGGCAGTGGGAGTATTTGGGAGGGGGCAAAGCACGGTGCATCCCCTTGACTTCACTCCCCTGCTCCCAGGCCAAGCTGAGGGGCCGAAACCGCTCGGCCGAGGAGGGGGCACTGCCGGGGGACAGCAAGGCAACCCCCCCCAAGGAACCCCACGTGCAGCGCTCCAAGTCCTGTAAGATCCCTGGCTTGAGTGGGAAACCCCTGGTGCTGCCCCCCAAGCCAGAGAAGTCCTCAGGGTGAGTGTTGGGGGGCATGGGACCCTCGTGGGGAGGTGAGGGCTGTGCCTCAGGGGTGGGAGAAGGGGGCTTGGGGGGTCATGCGTGCAGGTTTGGGGACGGGTGAGGCTGATGCTGCGGGGAGGATGCTGAAGGGCAGGGAAGTGTTGGGGGGGGCTGTTACCTGCTTCTGTGCCCCACCAAAGCAGTACTGAGGGTGGGCTTTTCCAGAGGCATGAAGGTTTTGGGGGTGCTTTAGAGGTGTAAAGGGATGCTGAGGGGTGCTGGGGCTCTCGGGGCTGGTACCTCTGGCCTTCGCAGGCATCAGGAGGCTGGGCTGGGCCCAGCTGGAGCTGGGAGCTGGGCGCGGGGGGAGGCTTCGCTGGGCCCAGCTTTCCCAGGGCCCGTTGCCTGGAGAGCCGGGCTGCTCCACCCTAAACAGTGCTTGGTTGGGTCCGAGCCCTTAAAGCCCCAGCTGGTGTGGCAGCTCCTTGCCTGCCCTCCCTGCCTGCCCCTGCCTGGCTGTGGTCCCTGGAGGGTCAGTCTGGGTCCTGGGTGTGTTTTTGGGGGGCTCGTGCTGATGCTGTGCCGACGCTTCCCAGGTCCGACGCCTCCCCCCCGCACTGGCTGCAAGCGCTGAAGCTGAAAAAGAAGAAGCCTTGAGCGGGGTGAGTGCAGGAGTTGGGGGGGACACGGGGGGCCGGACCCCTCCCAGTGCCCAGCGCAGGGCATAGCTGGGGCCTCCCCCTCCCCACATTCCCTGTGTCGGGGCTGTGTGTCCCTGGGGGGCTGGAGGGGGGGACATGCAGGCAGAGAGGTGGCCGTGGCACAGGGTGGCCTGGGCGGGAGCGTGTCCCCATGTCCCTGGGCTCTGTGCAGCCAGGAGCAGCAGCACCCTCCCTGCTGCCTGCTCCGGCCAGGGGCCCCCCTGGGCCTGGGGGTCCCCACGGGGTCCTCACCCCTCTCTCCCTGCTGTGTCTCTTCCAGGCTCTGTCTCCTGCCACCACATCCCCGAGGCTGACAGCCGCTGTCCCCAGGATCAGGCCTGCCCCTCCACGTGGGGACACACACACACACATCTATGCACTTTGTAGGATGCTCGCAGGGTCCCTGTCCCCCTCCACGACAATTCTTCCCCTTCCTTGGCCCACGGGCCTCCCCCAGCCTTTCCCTTCCCCTTGCTCTCTGGGGGCTGGGGGGTGGGCAACGAGCCCCCTCCCTGCCCCTCGCCCCCTGCTCTTGTATCACCCTCAGACAAAGAGCAACAGTTCAGGATTTTGGTGCCACTTTGACAGGACAATAAAACTTTGTTGGTGGGTTCGGGGCGGGCCCTGGCTCTTCTCGCAGCCCCCCGGCCCGCTGGATGTCCCCTGGCCCGGGAGTGGCCCCGTGGGGCTGGGGGGGGACATGCTGCCGTGGGGACTGCCACCAGGAGGAGCTCTCTGCCCGCCACCGGGGCTGGGTGCCGGGTACCCCCACTTCGGTCTGCTGGGGCGCGGGGCACCCGTGGGTGCTGCCTGGCTGGGGGGGGGGGGGGCAGAAATGACACCCACCCCGGGTGCACCCCAATCCCCCGTGGGTACCTGCAGAGAGGCAGCGTGCGTGGCCGCAGGCGTGCAGCAATTGCAGAGCCCCTTGCAGGGGCCAATGCAGGCCTCCACCCACCCACCCCACTGGTGACGCACCCATGCTCCTCCCCACGGCACTGTGCCCCATGTGTACCCACACCCCCTCGCACCCCCACATGCACACAGCATCCCTCTGCAGAAGCAGCCACTCGCACAGTTGCCTTGCACACGCGGCTCAGCGCATGCGTGGGTGCATGTCTCTGCCCACGCGTGCAAACCAGCCGCGCGTGCCCACCCTGGCACCAAACGGTGCTGTCCTGCCTATTCCCTGTCCGCTAGCTTGCTGGGGTGGTGGGTGCTGGGTGCTGGGGTCATCCTGAGGAAGAGTGGGGACAGATGCCCCCCCAGCCCCAAACCTTCCGGCATGCTGAGCAGCCCTACCTCCCTCCAGCTGAAGTGAAGCCAGCAAAGGGAGGATTGCCGCGGGCCCACTGGCATGGTACTGGCTGCGGTGTGACTGCGAGGTTGGGCCATGGAGGAAGGGGGATACCCCATCCCTCCGCCTGGGCTGGAGCTGAAACCTCTGAAGGAGACATGCTGCTGGTGGGTGCCCCCCACGTCCCTCCCGCCCTTGGTTTTTGACTGGGTCGGTGAGCCGAGCTGCCACCGTGGCCACTCTTTGGGCACGTGCCTCTCTCAGACCTGGCTCTGTGTCCTCCCCCCCCGGGATGGGAACCCCCAGGCTGTTTTTTCCTGGCAGAGCGTGACGGAAAGAGGGAGATCCAGAGGGAGAGATGCAGCCGAGGAGTTGTTGCTTCCCTGGTAGGATGTGAGTAACTCCAACCGGCTTCAGAGGAAGTTGCCAAATCCCACCTCATGGCACAGCCAACTGCTGCCCTTCCTGGCAAGGGGTGCCCAGGTGGTGCCACGAGCTCGGCCCCATGTCCCAACCCCCCTGCAGGGGGGCTCCCACCAGCACCCAGGAGGCTGCTCTTCCCCGTCCCCCGTGGGGCAGCCCCCTGCCACGTGTCTGGGCAGTGGCTTTTGTGCCGGGCCTGGCGTGCGTGGCATGGATCCAAGCCAAGGAACATGGCAGATGCTGGATGGGCTCAGCTTTTCCCTGGCAAAGCTTCACGCCATGAGCTGGTCAGAGGGCTCCTGCTTGCCCCCGAGCCCTTGGCTTCGTCCTGGCACTGCAGCAAAAACTCAGCCTCTTTCCTCCGAGCTTGTCTGACAGACGCTGCTCCCTCCCGGCTGCGGAGCTGGCAGGAACAGACTTGGGCTTGGCTCTGCGCCACCATCCAGATGGAGCCACTGGCTACTGGGCCCTGGGATTTATTCCCTGGGAATTAGGAGTGAAGGTTCCTGCAGCCTCTTGCTCCTGTCGGGGATGGGGCTGCAGGGACCGAGGGCAGCCTGTCGCCCTGCAGGGGAAAACAGCTCCTTGCAGAGCCCCTAGCTGCTGGGCTCAGCGCCCCAAGCCCCCTTAACCCTCTCCCCGAAGACCCTGGTCACATTCCTGCTGCCCAACAGCACTAAGATAACGGAGTTCGTTATCAGCCCTGCCACCCCCACCAGTGATAACGCCCTGCCACTGCTCTCTGTGGCTTCAGGGCCCTTTGCCCAGCTGTGGCCACCAACCCACCACCCGCAGCTACAACAAACCCAACCCAGGGGGTCTCCAGCCGGCCGGTGCAGTCCTTCCCGCTGGAGGAGGCTGCACGTGGGTCAGCCCAGAGCCAGGGACTGCGCTGGGACCCCAGAGTGGCACCAAGGACCATGCATGAGTGGAGCTGCCCCCACTGCCAGGGCAGCGAGGGGGTGACGGGGGACCCTTCAGCCCCTCTGGCATCGCTGGCGGCTTTTTGGCAAGGCATTGCCTTGGCAGGGCTGGAAAGGGTTACCTGTTCTCCTGTGCTACCCACAGAAGACAAAAATAGCAGAGATTGTTATTAATAGTGATCTTCGTTACCTGGGCTGGAACATCTCCCTTTGTAGCAGTTTCTGGTGATACCAAGGGTCTAATTAGCATTTCTTTTATTTCCCTATTTTATTCCATTTATTAGCTTATAGGCTTAAGTAATGTCTTCATCAGGCTTGGTTTGTGTGGGGCTCCATCCCTTCTTTAAACAAACTTCGGGTTTTAACTTAAATCAGCAGCTGTCATATTTATGCATCAATTTTTAGCAGCTTTTTATTTTAATTCTTCAAAGACCTGCCGGCCCTAGCACCTTACCCTGCAGGGTTAATGTGCACCTTTCCAAGGGACTGTCCCAGGTCATTAGAATATTTTATTATTCATTATCTCCAGCCCAATTGAGCCCTGGTTTGTTCTCCCAGGCTGATGGCTTTGGGTCTCCTTTGGGCGGCTGGTTTAGTGGCCGCTGTGCCCACCCCTCTGGGGCTCTCACCGCTCCCCCACCTGCACCCCCATTTCCCAGCCCCTCTCCCCCCGTACCACTCGTTTTTTCTAATTTCGGAGATCCCTTCGAGCTTCCCCCCTGTTTCAGCCACCGAATTAATCCACCAGCCCCTTTCTTTACACCACTCTGCTGGGAAAAGGGACCCGCTGTGCCGGTGGGGGGGTCGCTGGGGGCTTTGCCCTCATAGTGGCTGCGCATCCCCCTGCCAGCCCCATCCCCGTGGTTCCTCTACCACCCCGGTGCTTGGGTTTTAACCTTGCCATTTCCACTGCCCGTTCCTCTCTTAATTTACCTATTCTGACAGCGAAAGGCACCTCCACTCCTCTGGCTCCTTGGGTCAGCCCAAGTCCCCCCCCGCCGTGCTTTTCCTGGCCTCCCGGGGGACTTGTGGCTTTTCAGACTTTACCGTTTGCAAAGTCCTGCTTGCTTTCGCCAGTGCTTTTCCCCAAAGCTGTAATTGTGAGAGTTCAGCCCCGGTGGGATGACCCCATCCCACAGCTCCGCTGCTTCCCTCCTCCTCCTGCTCCTTCCAAATATTTTATTTTTGGGGTGGGGGGGGTGATTTTTTCATCTTTCTTGGCTCAGCTGAAGGCATTGCTGCTTTCGGCTCCTTAACCAGACAGCAAAGCCTGCACAGAACTGGGATGCAGCAAGGGCTCCCCATCGCTGTCTGGTCCTTCAGCAAAAGATGCCTTAAAATGTTCTTTTTGTGGGCTGGGGGTGGGGGAATCTCAGAGCTCCCGCTCTGCAGATTTTTGGAAAACACATAAAGGTCTCTCCAGCATGTCTTACTCGCAATAGGGCACCGGCAATTTGGGACCCTCCTGCTGCCACGACTGTTTGCAAATGCAAAACCCTGGAAGCAAAATGTAAAAGCCCAAGTGCAACATGCCAAATGCAAAACGGCCAATTGCAAAGTCCCAAATGCCAAACGCCAGACGCAACCACCCAAGTGCAACACCCTGCTGCAAAACGCCCAATGCAACAAGCCAAATGCGAAATGCAAAATGCAAAACCCGAACTGCAGCACCCCAATGCAAAAACGCTGAAAGCAGCACCCCAAAGGTGAAATCCCAAACGCAAATTCGGACCCACAGGGTGGCGGACCCGTGCCCGGCTGTTCAGCCTCCCTGTCCCACCGAGGCTGCTTCCCTGAGCCACGGCACCGAACCTGGCTGCCGGTGGGGTGACCGCAATCCCCCCAGGAGGCAGCCGCCCTGCGGTGGGGGGACAGGGCTTATCTCAGGGGTTGACGCTTTGACACTTGGGTGAGAGCTTGGTAAACCCCCAGGAAGGAGCCAGATGGAGGGTGGAGGGGGAGCTGTGAAATTTCCCACGGGGGCTCCCCCCCCCCGTCCATCCATCCTGTCCGTCCCATCAAGGAGGAGGGCGGAGGAGGAGGAGGAAGGGGAGGTAACGCGGTGGGATTTGTTGGGCCGGGCTCAGAGGGCCGGAGGAGCTCGGTGAGCCCGGGATGAGCTGAGCTGAGCTAAGCCCAGCGGCCAGCGGCATGGAGGAGGCGATGGACGCCTATGCCTACGGGGACAACGAGACAGAGTGCGAGTACGCCGAGTGGGGCCCCTCGCTGGCCCTGCTGCCCACCATCTACCTGCTGGTCTTCCTGCTGGGCACGGCCGGCAACGGGCTGGTCCTCTGGACCGTCTTCAAAGGCGGCCGGGACCGCCGGCGCTCGGCCGACACCTTCATCGCCAACTTGGCTGCCGCCGACCTTACCTTCGTGGCCACTCTGCCACTGTGGGCTGCCTATGCCTGGCTGGGCTACCACTGGCCCTTCGGCACGGCCGCCTGCAAGGTCAGCAGCTACCTGGTCTTCGTCAACATGTACGCCAGCGTCTTCTGCCTGACGGGGCTGAGCTTCGACCGCTACCTGGCCATTGTCCGGCCCCTGGCCACCGCCAAGCTGCGCTCGCGGGTCAGCGGGCTGGTGGCCACGGTGGCCCTGTGGGCACTGGCGGCTCTGCTGGCCCTGCCAGCCTTGGTGCTGCGGCGGGCAGCTGCCCTGGGGGGGGACAGCAAGATCACCTGCTACATGGACTACGGGGGCCTGGCCGCCCCGGGGACGGAGGGCGCCTGGGAGGTGGGGCTGGGGCTCTCCTCCACTGCCCTGGGCTTCGTGGCCCCCTTTGCTGTCATGCTGACCTGCTACTTCTTCATCGCCCGCACCGTAGCCAGCCATTTCCGCCGGGAGCGGGCCGAGGGGCCCCGCAAGCGCAAGCGCCTCCTCACCATCATCACGGTGCTGGTGGCCGCCTTTGGGGGCTGCTGGTTGCCCTTCCACCTGGTCAAGACCCTCTACGTCCTGATGGACCTGGAGGTGCTGCCGTGGTCCTGCAGCTTCCACACCTTCCTCAACAACCTCCACCCCTACTGCACCAGCATTGCCTACATCAACAGCTGCCTCAACCCCTTCCTCTACGCCTTCTTCGACCCCCGCTTCCGCCATGCCTGCGCCGCCCTGCTCTGCTGCCGGACCCCCAGTCCCGGGACCGAGCGCTCCGCCAGCTACTCCTCAGGGCACAGCCACCCCCCCGGAGGCAAGGGGGGGCCGGTCCCGGGGGGCAAGCTGGACCCCGCCACTCAGGAGACCCTCTTCCGTGCCTAACCCCTCCCCACTCCACCCCCGGTGCCCCCCGAGCTGGTCTCCTTGGGGGGACTCCACCACCTCCTCCTCACCCCAGAGCCTGGCTTGCTTTGGGGACCCTCCCTCTGGAAAGCCCTGCTCGTGGGAAGGGGAAACTGAGGCAGGGGCTGGGCAGACCCTGGGAGGAGCCCCTGGGGGGCTCGGGCAGGGGTGGCTCCCCCCGGCACCCGCAGGGCTTTGTAATTTGTGACAAATAAATGAATTTTGGTTAAAAAAAGAGCAGGGTGTGTGCAGTTCCCTCTGGGGGGATGGGGAGGGAGTGGGACCGGGGTGGGATGCGGTGTGGGACAGCAGGGAGGGTTG